CACCGTCACCACAGATACTGAAGCAGCCAAAGGATGGTGTTGATGCGGTACGCTCCCCACATACTATATATATACATTTTTGTATTGAAGTTTATTACCGAGCTTTGCCAAATGTGTGTGACATCTCATTGTGACATAGTTCATCACGATCCAGCAGCCTTCAGTGGGTGTGCTTTCTTGTGTATGTGTGGCTGGAATTCACTTCTAAACGCTTTTTGTTATCTGCTTGGGATGGCTGCAATGAAAATGGAAGTGACTGAAAGCCCCATCCTAGCAATGGTGAATGCCTTCGGTGAAAGAAGTGAGATTGAACTTGAAGAAAAGGCTGCTGACATTTTTTACATGCCATTACTGTACGCCAGCGCCCAAGCTGTCAGAAGAATACGGTTGTTAATAGATATGCAATTTTGATCAGGTGATCACGTGTGAACGGCTGCAATACCTAGGGGTGCCAGGGGTGGCCAAAATGTGTAGATTGCGAGATACTAATAAGGGCAAGGCCACAACAAAGTGACAGCCCTTGAGCGCATGCTCTCTCATTAATTTGTGGTAGGGAAATCCGTGGAGAAGTCTGTGCTTGGCTATTCCTATTGTGGAATATTCCGTGCAGGTGCATCCTGGAAACCTGCTGGCACCACTGCTACTGCCGCCGTTGCCACTGCTGCTGCTGTTGGCACTCTTGATGTTTGGTGTATCCTGTTCAGTTCTGATCTCCATCTTGCTGTTCATCGTTGTGTATTGTCACTGTTTGTCGTCGTCGCCGTTGTTGTCTTTGCTCCGATGCATACATTAGGTGGATTACTTCCCTGTGGCGATTGAGGACTTCTCTGCTGCTGTGGCAGTTCATGAAGATGATCTGTGTAAGCATCATGTGTGTTTTCCTGTGTTCAGTCCACCATGTGCCACCTCATCAGTGCTGGTTGTGATGTATTGTAAATGTTTTTCTGTTTTAATATAAAATATCATACTAATACTGCCAACGGTGTTTAGTTTACTGGAGTTTTACTGCAATAGTCCTTGCTCTATTGTAACTGTGATCGCTATGTTAATAATTGTGTGCGTTGTGTTGTGTTACCCTTGGGGTATGTGATAATAGTGACATGATTGTACATGTCTATGTGTGCATCGTTTGTGTTTGTCCATGCAGTCGAGTCTGACGACGACGAGGACTATAAGTCTTGTTCTGAGGGCAGTGTGCACTCTGGATCAATGACGTGAGTGAGCCAGTTGGAGTCGCAAATCGTCTGAATTATCTTTGTGTGCTCTATTCGGATATTCCATCCTTTCCAATGTGGAGGTTTCCAGTGTTGTATATCTTTAGGAGAGAGAGAGAGAGAGAGAGAGAGAGAGAGAGAGAGAGAGAGAGAGAGAGAGAGAGAGAGAGAGAGAGAGAGAGAGAGAGAGAGAGAGAGAGAGAGAGAGAGAGAGAGAGAGAGAGAGAGAGAGAGAGAGAGAGAGAGAGAGAGAGAGAGAGAGAGAGAGAGAGAGAGAGAGAGAGAGAGAGAGAGAGAGAGAGAGAGAGAGAGAGAGAGAGAGAGAGAGAGAGAGAGAGAGAGAGAGAGAGAGAGAGAGAGAGAGAGAGAGAGAGAGAGAGAGAGAGAGAGAGAGAGAGAGAGAGAGAGAGAGAGAGAGAGAGAGAGAGGTGTTATTGGCGGTGGTGGTAGTGCTGCTGCTGTTGTTGTTGTTTTTGAATTCGTTTTTCTCACGATGTTGCTGCTGCTGCTGCTGCTGCTGCTGCTGTTGTTGTTGTTGTTGTTGTTGTTGTTGTTGTTGTTGTTGTTGTTGTTGTTGTTGTTGTTGTTGTTGTTGTTGTTGTTGTTGTTGTTGTTGTTGTTGTTGTTGTAGTAGTATTTTGTATCAGAGATTGAATTTTATGCAAGTATCTGCACCTGTTCTTACTGTTGTGTTGGCAATCTTGATTTTTTCATTTTTTTTGTGCCTTTTCTGGTGTCCTGTGTCTTTCCAATGGCAGTGCTTCAGTTACAAGTACAAGTGCCGTGCAGAGAAGTCTTTCTAGTACTAGACTGGATATCACCAAGTTCCACGCTGATTTCCACGTGAAGAAGGTCAGTGTGGCTGTCTGCTTATTATGTGTGTGTGTGTGTGTGTGTGTGTGTGTGTGTGTGTGTATGTGTGTGTGTGTGTGTGTATGTGTGTGTGTGTGTGTTTGCGCACGCGCACGCATGTGTGCGTGTATACGTGCCTGGGTGTGTGGGTGTGCATGCATGCATACGTATGTTGGTGAAGTGTATAAGATTGTTCTTGTGAGGATTACTGCATAACAATCGTTTGTTGTGTCTGTCTTTGCAATCATCGCCATGCACAGGTGGCCCTGACGGTGTCCCAGCGGGAGAGTGAGGGAACGGACCGCGCTCGTGTCGAGCTGGCCATTACCGACCTGAATGCTACGGTGTCACAGCGTGAGTATGACCTGGCTGTTGATGCCAAGGTTGGTCAGCTGTCTGTCAGTGATCCTACCATTGCCAGTATGGATGCGGACGGTGGTTCGCTGTGCATACTGCACAGTGACCCGGGTACTGATCTCATCACCGTCAAACTTGTCCAGGTATGGTTATCCGCATTGTGCCCTCGCACACTGCGCGTGCTCGTTCATTAACCTAGTGTTTAGTTTGCAGGGCATGGCCTTGCAGTTAGTTGCACTGCTTCTCAGAAAAAAGAAAAACTTGTTTTGGGCGCACTGCCACACCTCTAACTTGTGCCGCTGCTCACTTCACATCTAAAGTTACATACTCGACGTTTCGGTCTTAGACCCTGCATCGGGAATCAGAATGCTTTGAGAACTGCTCGTCTTCAAGTTGGTCCTCTATCCTGAGCTGACCGCGTGCGAAGGCTCACATGTATTCTTGACTGACCTTTGCTGATTTTCGCGCTAGACATTGAGCTACGGACCTCTCCCTGATCTTCATGCAGAGTAGTAGTAGTAGTAGTAGTATTTATTATTTTACTTGGGTATACCCAACAGGCCTATGGCCTTCTTACAGGGTGCCCAAGGAGTCTTGGACGTGCCTGAGTGCTGGTGCAGTTACAATATTCCTTTGCGTTTCTACTGTGTTACCCTATGTGCTACTGCTGCAGGCAAAGAGTGATGGTCCTGACTTTGCTGAGAGGTTTCACAGCACAGCGACAAACATTGACATGGAGATGTCGTCGATACATGTCACTGCACACCAGCAGTCGCTCTTTAACCTCATGGAGTTTGCAGACAGCCTGAAGACTCTGCAGTGAGTTGAGTAGTAGTAGTATGCTGTGGTGGTGATGGTGGTGGTATGGGGGGGGGGGGGGGGGGTGTTTCGGGGAGGGGGTGGGGTGGGGTGGGAGGTAGCCCCCGTTAATACTGATAGCTGTATCCAGGGGGAGGGGGGGGGGGTGTTGTTTCGGGGAGGGGAGTTGGGGGTAGCCCCCGTTGGAATTATAGCTGTACCTGTATACACAGAGAGATCACCTAGGAGGTAACCCCCAATTTAAGGGTCGAATTGTGTTCAAGATTATCTGTGAAATTTGGCGCGGCATTAGTTAAAAATATCGAATATCTGAAGAACTGTTCACAATTCCTCGAACGACACCTAATATTTTTCTGAACCACGGCAGATAATGGGAACCCTATAAAAAGACCAGAGCTCAATCAGGCAATGTGACGTTACCAACCAGGGATCTAAATGTAGACGATGCTCACGACATAGACGATAACCGAAAGCCAAGGTCAGAGAAAACCAAAACAGAAGACCAATAGTCTCTAGAAATGTGATCTGGCATGCCAGAGTTGATTATGGTTCCCTGAAAAGAGAGACAGGAGGATCACAATCAAAACACCAGTAAGAGCAGTCCCGAGGGCGACGCATACTCTTCTTCTTGAACGGGCGAACGCAGACAGCACACTTCTGAGATTGTTTGACCTTGTTGGAGAATATGTTGGCCATGCAAACGTTGATCAAGACCTACACGACCAGGACGCCTTCTGGCGGTGAATCCTGCAACCAGTGACTCAGTAAGTTGGAGTCGGAATTCCTTTGGGGCAAGTCTTGGTGCACTGGCTGTGTGTTTCATGATCAGTTATGCGTTCGTAAGTGCCATGTGCAATCACCGAGGAAAAGGTCACCTTCCACCATTTCCTTGTTTTTCTCCTCACAGTGTACATGCAGTACAGTACTGGCAACTGAAATCTGACCCCCTTGCCGGGGCGCCGCGCCGCCAAGGGGGTCAGATTTCAGTTGCCACCACTGTAGTAAGTGCAGTACTGATCTTGAAGATCCACCCCGCCCATGAACTGATTGTAATCCACAATACACGGCGGTACGGGGACATCCAGAGCTGGATGCTGGCCGTCTGTGACAACATTGCGGCGTACAGTTTCATTTCCTGTTGCTGGATGGCACGTGCTGAGGAGAGTTACATCTCTAGTATCTTTCCAATGTGGTGCACAGTAAAAATTTGAAACGTCTCCGAACTGACTCTCCTTGCCTCAAGGGCTTGATGGCCTTTGGATCGATGGTGTGTTTGGGCAAATATTTACGGTTACGTCGCACTGTTTCAACAACTTACATCCACGAGTGAGGAGATCAACAATCAGGTCAATACCAGTATAGAAGTTGTCCGTAAAAACTCTGTGGAACTTTCCATAGAGTCCTACAGTCAGTTGCATCACGACAAGATACGACAGACGGTGTTCCACAGCATTGTTCTGTTTTCCAGAATAAATGGAAAAGCGCCAGACGTAACCCGTCGTACTGCTCGTAAGCAGCCATAGCTTGACACACCGCGTGTGGGGTTGGTTCTTGATGTACTGCTTCGAAAATGTCCTGCCTTTGAATGGCACCAATGACTCATCTATCGATAGATCCCTCCCGAGCGACCGAAGCCTTTGGAAACGGGCATTCAGCGGCTCAACAAAGTGCTGCACCTTGGACGTACGTGACTGGGGATCAGCGGCTGTATTATCGGACAGGTGCTGATACTGTAGCGGCTTGCGGAAGCGCCGGACTGGCGGAATTCCTGCCACAGATGCATTGTGTAATATACTGTTCTTGTTCCAGTAGTGTCTCATGTACGGCATTGGTGCAATGATGACACCAAGAAATGCATTAATTTCCGAGACAGTAGTATCCGTCCATGGCTGGGCGTTGGACTGCTCTGTAAAATGGTTGGTTTCAGTAACCAGCGGTATCTCCAGATCAGATTGAAAAGTACAATGGTGTTAAAACAGTACCCACAGCAATATCAATAATCGGGCCAGGTGGAGTAGATGGCGCAAAATCCTTCATCTGGGGTGCGGCATCAGAACCACTCCAATCCGAGTTATCCTCTGCATGCACATTTGCAGCATTGCCAACTGCACCCCCACGTCCCCTGCCACGTGCTGTTCCTCTGCCATGGCCACGATTGACTCCACGACCTCTTCCTCGAGCACGAGCACTGCCACGGAGACACCCACGTGTTATACCACGCTAGTGTGTAGTACTACTACAGTTGCGCTCGGTGAAATCCGGCCCGAAGTGCAAAGCCGGCGCCGCGAAGCCAGCTCCCATTACATCACTGGCGATTTGTGTGTATGAACTCAACTGTACGCACCTCGTGTAAAAGTTCGGAGTTCACGTGTTGCATTCTAAAAACAGTTCAAAATTTCTTTCATTCACTTCACTCAAGCACAGCAGGATCTTCTCGATAGTGGAGTACCCAACATCCTGTTTCAACCTCCCTGCTCGCTGGACATGAATCCAATCGAGAATATGTGGGCTCTTCTCAAGAAGAGAATAATTCTACATCGCTGCGAGAATGCTGACCAGCTGGTGCAGGCAGCCTGGAGTGGGACTCGTTGGGTCCTGGCACGGTTTCCCCATACGTGGAGTCAATGTCACGTCGTGTTGAAGCCCTAATCGAAGCTGACGGTGGCCACACAAAATATTGAAGCCCTGCTGTTCTGTGTATGAAATAAACTGCTTCGAAACGATCTCCGTGTTCTTTACATGTGCTGAACTGAAATGAATGTTACACTTGTCTTTGTTTGGCGCGGTTTTTTACACTTTGGTGTAAGCATGCATGCGTATGAGTACAGCACATGCACAGTTCATACGGCACACGCGCATACTAGCACTTGTACAACTTTGAGGGCGTTTAGGGGGCCGCATCAGTACTGGGCGCCAGTTATGCACTTCGGGCCGGATTTCACCGAGCGCAACTGTAGGTTCGTCATCCGACATTTCAGATACATCGCCATCTGAGTCCGACTCAGTTGGGGAGTAGTCCCCATTGGGACTGTTAGGTATATCTGTGTGAGCAATGAGAAGACTGAGGTCAGTGAGGAGGATAGTGCGTATACATGTACCTGTATTCTGCTCGAAAAGCCTTGTGCAGATGGCTGGGTGGAATTGAGTTTTCTGGTGCCAATGACAACTTTCGTGCTAAAAGTGTGCGTGTTTGTGTGGCAAGGGCAGGAAGAGTTCTGGCCTTGCTCTGTCTGCTTTTCTGACCTCTAAATCCCCAAAACATCCTTGTGGATTTGTGTGAAGTGTCTGTATGACGGGTCTATGCTATTCTTCTGTGTGCATGTATATAGGCCGAAGCTGGGAGGAGATGATGGTGGCAGCGAAACCTTGGACGACGGCGGAAGTGGAAGTGCCGCTACGGGTAAGTAGGTCTGTTGTCAGCAGAGTTGGTGTTTTCTTCCACTTGTTATCCTTGTGGTGCTTTGTGAGGTTGTTGGTCAGGGATTTTGATTTCAAGCACATTTACTGCTGTTGTCTTATGGTACTATACAGTTAGTCGGTTAACAGTGCACTGTGGCTCTCTGCTGCTCAGGTCTCTGTAAAGCAGACAAGCATTACCTCAATGCTCTTATTACCAAGGAAATCATTGTTTCTGAACACAACAACGCGGTTGTTGAGCCAGCCCTGTGGGGAAGAAACTTCTCTTCCGGTGGTGACAGCCATTCTCTCTCTCATTCTCTCTCTCTCTCTCTCTCTCTCTCTCTCTCTCTCTCTCTCTCTCTCTCTCTCTCTCTCTCTCTCTCTCTCTCTCTCTCTCTCTCTCTCTCTCTCTCTCTCTCTCTCTCGCTCTCGCTCTCTCGCTCTCTTCCTCCCTCCCTCCCTCTCCCTCTCCTCCTCTTTTTTATCATGTCACAGATGAGAAATCGGCGGCTGTGTCACGGCAGCTGACAATAGCGTCCATTGAGCAATCGGACGAGTTCATCAAGCTCCTTCTCAAGGCCAAACTGCCATCCGTCCGTCTACAACTTGCCAGTGATCGCAGCGTTATTGCTGTGGCTGAAATACGAGGTGAGGAACAGCTTCAGTATTGCTTCTGCTGTTGCTGTTGGCAACATGGTCTGCTGTTGCTATTGCCAACAGAGACTATGCGAATGACATCATTGTCAGTTCTGTGTATGGAGTGGCAAACCAGCACTTGTCCTGTTGCCACTCCATACGAAACACCGCAAGTGATCACCTAATTGCACTACCTACATAAGCTGTGGTTCAACATGTTTATCCATTCACACACGGCGTGGCTCGCAAGAACAGAATGGTGATAATCATCGCGATCGTCTTTGGGGACTACGGCTGCTGAACGCCTTACCTTGGGTGTACATTTGCCATACCAGAACAGGTGTGGGAGAATCACACACCCTAGCATGCAGGTAGACAGATACAGGTAGTTACATGCAAAATAGGAAAGGAGAAAGCTACTTGAGAGAGAGAGAGAGAGAGAGAGAGAGAGAGAGAGAGAGAGAGAGAGAGAGAGAGAGAGAGAGAGAGAGAGCTCAGATTCCACAACACAGTGCATATTTGGTAAGGTTCTCATTGTCTTGTTGGTATTCTGTGTGTCCGTGCATAACTACCGGTACTTACATTTGTTTTCCTGCATGTTATGCTGATGTTGGTTAGGTATTGAGTCGACAGTGAAAATGCAATACAAGTACATGAACGTTGCGGCCACGTTGAGTGAGCTAGTCGTCCAGGACCCTCAACCGGGAGCCATACACCAACAGGTGGGTGATGGTGGCAAGGTGTGATATGTCCGGGGTGACTCCCACCATGTTCTGTCATTACGCAATCGCTCACTGTGCATAGCAGTTCAGTTTCATTGACGATACTGGCGGTGAACCTGGCCATGCCATCTTCCATGAATCTGCCATGCCAGGATTAATGATAATGTTTTCAAAGTCATCCATTGGTAGTGAACGAGAAAGGAGTTCCAGTTGTTATGACGAGCTTTTAGCACCACAACCAAAGCGGTAACTTGTGATTTTCTTCAGAGTGATGTTTTGTCGTACCCTACGCAGGAGGTATGCTGCCACTATTTTACACAGCAAACAATGCATGTGTGTGTGTCTGTGTGTGTGTGTTTGCATGTGTGTGTTTTTGTGTTTGCATGTTCGTGTGTGTGTGTGTGTGTTTGTGTGTTTGTGTGTGTGTGTGTGTGTGTGTGTTCGTGAGTTTGCGTGGGTGTTTGCGTGCATGTTTGTGTGTTCGTGGGTGTTTGTGAATGTGCGTGCGTGTCTACGTGCTTGTGTGTGCATAGATTGTTGGCCTTGCCAGAACTGGTGAGAAGGTGCTGGACCTCTCGGTGAGGATGTGCGGAGTTTTGCATTTCGATTTCACTGTGCAAGTCATATTGTGCGTTTTTTTCTACTGCCGATTTGTGTTCTCCCAAACGGATGGAAAAGGATCTATATTTTGATTTGGCGATAGCCTCTCCCCTTGCATGCACATGAAGAAGTAGTGCTACAGTGTTTGGTCTGCTCTTGAAGGTCTCGGCCGGGGAGACTCTTGTGCCGTCTTGGAGTTCCCGGACGGGGAGACCATTATTTCCTCTTGGATTTCCCGGCGGTTGGTGAGACTATTTTGTCAACATTTTGGCAACGGCAGGTCGTTTGTGTGGTGCCATGTTATTCATTTGTGCATCGTTACGTGTGTGTGCTGTATTGCATTGTAATTCGATTGTTGTTGCTGTTGGCTCTGCTGTGCAGTTTGACAAGTACGACGATGCCACAACTGGAGAGAAAGCGTTTGACATGGATAGCAGGGACATGGCCGTCAAGGTCACTCTTGGACAGTTGCAGTTTGTTTTCATCAATGCCTTCCTGCAGCGTTGCCTGGTAAGCCTGTTCAGAAAGTTGATAATATGACTGTTGTCTCTGCCGTTACGCTGTGCACGCTCCCAATGTGTTGTGTGTTGTGTGCCTGCTCCTTAACGTTCCTTCCCATTTTACACATTGTGTGACTGTGCTGCCACCTTTATTTTCCATTTGCTCTGTGGTGCTCCTGCTCATTTTTTCATCTAGTATTTTCCTGTTTGGCGCGCATGAGCAGTGGTGATACCGAGACCCTTGGTCGGTTTAACTGCTCTTGCGCCGCCTCCACTGCTTCGGCTGCCATCGCTATGTGTATCCCTGTGCGTTTTTGCCGGCGTTTGCACCATGATGGTTTGTAGCTATCTTGTAAAAACAAACACCTGATGGAGGCAACATTCCTACCATATGATTCCATTGACTAAGATGGATAACGTTTTCTTTAACTTGTGTCGGTTTATTTGGACTGAAGTGAAGTTTGTTTCATTGGTTGGGTGTCGTCTCTGCAGGCGTTCTTGAAGGGTCTTCAACTGCGACAGGAGACATTGGATCAGGCAGCACAGGCTGCTGCGACCGGTGCTGCTGCTTCGGTATGTTAACCACGTGTCACACATATTTCTAGAGCTCTCTCTGTCTCTCTCTGTCTCTCTCTCTCTCTCTCTCTCTCTCTCTCTCTCTCTCTCTCTCTCTCTCTCTCTCTCTCTCTCTCTCTCTCTCTCTCTCTCTCTCTCTCTCTCTCTCTCTCTCTCTCTCTCTCTCTCTGTCTCTGTCTCTGTCTCTGTCTCTCTCTCTTTCTACGACTAGTATAAACGGTGCCATTAGATGTGAAAGTAATACCTGTCGTTTGTTGCTGGAATGTTCATATGTTTGGGTTTCAGGAGCATATTTGGAGGAAAGGTGATAATTTACAGCAGTCAT